GCCTGCTAGATCCCTGTGTGCTCCATGCTAAATTGCTTCAAGTCATGTCTGATTCTTTGCGACCCAATGGGATTGTAGCCCACCAGGCTCCTCTGTCCATGTGATTCTCCAGGCAAGAATATTGAAGTGGGTTGCCATGTCCTCCTCCAGGGGATCTTTCCAACCCAGGGTCGAACCTGGGTCTTCTGAATTGGCAGGCAGGTTCTTTGCCACTATGGGAAACCCTGGTAGATCCCTGCTATCCCCTAAAGGAAAATAATCTTGCAGTAACCAACCCACTTTTTAGCTTAGTATAGCATCCTTATTCCTGCTCCCTTCTGTCTACAAAAGTCTTTCATTTTGTACAGCTCCTCAGAGGTACTTTCTATTTGCAAAATTGAATGCTACTTAATTCAAATTGGTTTTTGCTCAAGTAGACTCTTAAAATTTTTCATATGCCTCACTTTATCTTTTAACATAAGCTGCGATTGCATTCCAAAGTCTGTGAGACATTGCTCAATTGAAAACTTTGTTGCCTTGAAATTGGGAGCTATGGGTCCTAGTCTGAGCCTTCTCTAAATAGCTGTGCAGTGGAGAGCCTGCCATTTGTTCTATAAGTGCACTTCAGTAGCCCTATTTATTAAAAAGAAAAAGAAAAACAATGCTTAACCTGTTAACCTCATCTCACATGACTAATGTGAAAATGTGAGACATCGAGTACATGAAAATGTCTTGAAAGATTTAAAACAAAGTGCAAAATTCAGACATTAAAATCAAATAAAAGTTTTTGGGGAGTTGTTGATGGAGTAAAATATTTCCATGAAAATATTAACTGATGACTTCAGTTAGTAAAAGTGTGTGACTTGCCAAAAAATGAATTGGTGTTAATTATAAAAATTACCTTTTAATTAATACATTCATTAATGATCTACTAATCAATACCAATTGAAGGTTTATTATTTTAAGGAGGATGGGCAATTAGCAGTTTGACACCATGAAAAAGAGATAACCAACTGACGGATGGGTCCCCATCAAGTTTAATTTTAATTTGTTTTAAAAGTATCTTCTAGAGGAATGAGTTTAAATGCACATCACTCTTTCTCCTTTCAGAAAATGAATATATAAGTTGTTTAGAAAGCATATCTGAATGACCAAGAATGAAGTCTGGCATATGTAACAAGAAACGAGCACATCTTCTAAATGGGCTCGATGGTATGGTCTAAGTTCTATTCTCTCACACAGTAATATAACTGGATTGCTCTTTAAATTAAGTGAATTTGTATGTCCACTTTCCCTTAATGGAATCAGTTTTGATATACTCTTTGTTCATGCTGTTACAGCTTCAGTCTAAGGGTTCTTTGTATTAACTTTTTAAAGTTACATCACAAAGAGGTTTTAAGATTTCCCAGCAGGCTTTTATTTAACCAAAGCTTTTGATCTCAAACCTGCTGGGGACTAGTGAAATCCTTACCAATTCTCCAGGAACTTCTCTCTATTGGAATTTGAAAAGACCCACCTGAAGGATTGAACTCCCGGTATGGTTTCAGCCACCCTTCTGATCAGGCTATTCAAGCAGCCAGCAAGGGTGTCTAGTGCCCCCTTTGTGATTGGCTAAGCAGCCTAAGGTGTCCTTTGCATGAGCTGTTCTCCCGAGGAAATAAAAACCAGGAGAACACAGACCTATATACCTTATTTCCTGCTATCTTCAGTTAAAGGTGGATTGCAGGGGGTCTGCTTAACATCCTTTGCTACCTAAATACCTTTTGGACTTGGGAACTCAATAAAAGAACTTTCATTGCATCCATTACCCTACTGTGGTGCATAACAAATTAGATTTAAAAGGCTACTTTTTTCCCCCTTACAGCTATTTCCAACATTTTCTTTAAAATTTCAATTTAGTGTCTCATGCCAGAATATTCTATAATATACTCTAAAACTCTTATGATACCAATAACGCCAACTGAACATTACTTCCAAAGAATCAGGCTCATATTCTTATAGACAAATATAGTTTTTAATTAATATAAGGTAAAAAAATAAAAGTATGTTTAAAACATGTTAAATATGAAACTATATAAAGCAAATGTTGTTCTTGGATAACTCTTTTTAAAATACAAATTTATTTGTCCCCAAATTCCCATTTTTGAAAAAAATTTCACTTGAGGTTGAAAAATATCAGTGCCACATTTCCCAAACCTATTTTGAGAAATGGTGAGGTAAAAGTCTCAATGGTAATATTTAAATATTATTATTATTATATTTTAAACTTCCATTGTGCAGAGGTGTTAGGGCATGTAAACAACACAGAACATAGAGAGCAAATACAACTTTGTAAAGAACATAGTATTTGCAGTACTGTATATGAGAACACATTTGCCTATAGACCACTTCTCCAATATAAACGTTTATCTTTACCTTTCTATTAATGTGATGTCAGATCTCTTCACTATTTAAAAAAAGGGTTTGGACTCTGTTTTGATACGTAGAGGTGGATATTATTGTCATTGCATCAGATGTTACGATCCCTGATAAAGCCTCCAATGAGCTGTATGCTGAAGAACTAGAAAGAAATGTGTAAGTATTTCCAGAAGCTGTAAAATATTCAGGGCTCACTGCTTGAGGGCCTAGCCTCTCACACCACAGGTATATCATCTATTACGGACATTAGAGGCATTTGCTTTCCGAATGTTGTTTGTTTTTTTTCCTCTTTGGGCTCTGGTGTAACTGCAGCAAAGTAGCTGGAACCATCTCAAATTCTGAATATGTGGTGGAGTGGTCAGTGCTCAATCTGGATTTCAGAAACACTGCTACCACACCTGTAGAATATGACATAATGTTCTGTTTCATAACATTAGTTTTAGTAAGCATTTGTTACACATCTGATTGGTAGATATTTATGAATAGCTGCCTGATGGAATATTATATTCTGCAGTTAATAAGTAATAACTGATTATAGAAAGACAATATGCTATGAATTCTTTCTCTGGAGAAAGAGGGGCTCAAAGACTTGCAGAACTGAAAATCATGAAAATTATGCATAAAAAGCGTTCTGGTTTTTATGGATAATATAAAACAAGTGTTACTTATGTTGTGTTACAGTAATCCCCTAATTCTTGTATAAAAAAGGTTATGCATTTTTGATGCATAGATGAAAGTCTTAATGAAATATTTCTCATGATCCCAAATTTTTTCTCATTCACTTTTATTCACAGAGTAAATAGTTACTTTTAGGGGATGATTATGCAACAATATCTATCATTTAAAAATGTATATCACCTTTGATTAGAAAATTGCACTTCTAAAATGTACTCTTTAGAAATAATCACAACATTCTACTTAGGAGGATGTTCACTAGTGCATGATGTATGAGAAGAAAAATTGCAATCACTCTATATGTCCATCAACATGAAATTGGTAATAAGATATCAAATATCTATGGTAGCAGTACTGACATGGTTGCATGTCTACCAGCACCAAACAGTAATTCCTCATCCTGCATGACAACCATTTCAAGGAGGTATTGTTAACATCACACCTTATAAGTTTAGAAAGTGGATTACAGAGAAAATAACTTGTCAAAGTCACAGAATTACTAAGAGTGAAGCTAGGATTCAGACTCAGTCAAGCCATTTGGTTGTGAAGCCATGAACTTAATCTCTTAATATTCACATATGTTGTATGGAGCTTCCCAGAAGGCACTTGTGGTAAAGAACCCGCCAGCCAATGCAGGAGACATAAGAACCACGGCTTCCATCCCTGGGTCAGGAAGAGCTCCTGGAGAAGGGCACAGCAGCCCACTCCAGTATTCTTGCCTGGAAAATTTCATGGTTAGTCCATGAGGTCACAAAGAGTTGGACATGACTGACTATAACATTCTTATAACCCACTATTATGTGTGTGTTCAAAGAATGAGATAGTTTTAGAGATTATGAAATGAAAAAAAGTCTAAGACATATTCAAAATAATTTGGTAAAGATTGTGTCCATATACATTAGAATATAGCAAGAAAAATTTGAAGGATTATTCATCAAGCTGTTCATATTAAAATATCTGTGGTTAGACTTTTATTTTCTACTTTGTATATTTCTTTAATATTTAGATATTTTATAAATATGTATATTAAAACAATATAATTCTTCAAAATATCAACACATAAGAAGGAGAATCAATAAAAATAATACATTATTTTATCAATACATATGGCATTATTTTCAAGATCGCAAGTGCTGGCATTCAATTTGGCCTTTTTAAAACAAAGCATAAAAAAAAAGCATAAATAAGTTATACCATATAGAATTTTCATACTTTGAACATTAATTATTTCAGTCTGTTTTGGGGGAGGATGATATTCGGATTATAAAGAAAGTTACAGCTTTGAGACCTTTTCCCTTGTATAAGCAAGTTTTGCAAGTATCCTGTATTATAACTATTGAATGAAAGCCCTCTTTTATCAATAAAGTTTTACATGTTTTTATTTCACATTTGTTATATTAGAACACAATTATTTAGTCTTTTACAGGAGGAGTCTCGCAAGCTTTCTAATATATAAAACACTACATACTTTTGCATCTATAAACTGTTTCCATAGGTGATCATTGCATCCAGGTTCCTAAGATCAAGGAAAAAAGCTGCGCATTTTATTCTGAAGTTACAAATGGTATTTGATATACCACTGTGCTAAACACAGGATTGAGCTGCCTCTAGCTTTCCTTCTTGCATTTCAGCATTGAAAAAAAAAAATCAGAAATGGGTAATGCTTTCAAAAATGTTAATCCCAATTTTTGCTTATGGATATCACATGATTTTAAAAGATAATAAAGAGTATTTTCAGTAATCAAGGGTGAGTCAAGGAAAATGGCTTCTATGGGAGTAAGTCAGCCAAACAAAAACTTGACCCAGCACCAAGCTTGTTGTCAGAATCACAGCTGCCACATCAACCAATGAGACCTGACCTGGAGGCAGCCAGGAAGTCAGGTGCCGAGGCTGGAACCGCTCTGTTCCAGACCCATTGGCAGTTGGCCCTTCAGCTGTTCTACAGCCCCAGTCTGGGCCCGGGGGGGCTGGATCTGCTTCTGGATTACAGGAGGGAAATGAAGTACAACCAGTACCGTCAACGGCGAGGCTGTCAAGTTAGTACTGATAATATATTCATGGGGCGATGTGTTGTTTTGCTCTCTGGGTTCTGTGAGGAAGGAGGGCTATGGGAGCGTGTACATCACAGCTCTGAAAGCATAATCTACTCTCTGCTTGTAGGAACTGGTGAGGGTGGCTCAGGTTTCCTTTAACCTCTTGATTCCTTCTGGTGGCATGTCTTAGTGACTAAGTAGGAGCTTGAAAAATATGGACAGAAATGAATGCCAGGTTTAAAAAGGAGGTGTGGTTACAAGGACATGATACTCGGATTTTTAGAAAGAAAATGGATTTTTGGTTTGGCATTATCAACAGAGAACTGTCATGTTGCTTTCCTTCAATAGAGAAAAGAAGTGACCCCAAACAGAAAATCAATGACCCAGGCTGTGATCAGCAACTCGCTGTGTTAGTTTAGTGTCAAGAATGCGGTCAGGATTTAAGAAAACTTTACAATCATAGATCACCTCCCCAAACAAAAGCTAATAAACAAAGAACACATCTTTAAGGTAAGTCATCTTCTAACACCTTTGAAGCTCAGGATTGTCCTGCATGTACAGAGCAGGCATTCCGTAGACAATGAAAGCTGAACATGACTCACTGAATCTTAAGTCTGTGTGTCTCCCAGGTAGACACCCAGTTGTATGCCTTTCAGAATCATATTATTACACTCTTACTTCAGTACTGAGACTTTGTATAAAAACTTTCTGGAAAGTTTTCTTAACAATAAATGCATTCATCCACGATGGTGAATAGCATGGTCCACGGTAGCACTGAGAGTGACACCCTGACCATAGTATGTTCTCAATAAACACTTATTAATGTTACTAAAAGTCACTAGGAATTGTGAGACTTTATGGGGAGTTTTAAAGACATTACATACATGTTCTTATCTTGTAATGGGCACCCCAAAATTTACAGGATAAACAAATGAAACAAAAATAAAAATTTACTCACAAACACGTAACTTAAAAACCTATCATAGAAACATCAAAAACAAAAGGCATTTGTAGTGGCTAGAGGTTAACTTCTCAGCATGGTACTGATGGAGGAGATGGATAGAATTGATAACAGCTCACTTTCGTGAAACACTTACTATTGGCCAAGCATGATGTTTATTGCTTTAGATATATTGATTGTCTTATTTAATTTTCACTACAACCTTAAAGTAGATGATATTACTATTTTCATTTTACACGTACAAAAACTGGGGTTTAAATTGTCAAAATCATTGCCCCAGGTTAGGAGGCAGGCAAGCCAAGCTCTGCAACTAGAAAATCCAGGTCGGTGGCCCTATGTAAGAATCTAAGCTATTATCTGAATGTTTGTTTATGCTCTACCACCTCCCCATCCCCCACCCCCACCAATACCTATGTTGAAATGCTGCTGTTAAGACGCTTTAGTCATGTGCCACTCTTTGCAACCCTATGGACCATAGCCCGCCAGGCTCCTCTGTCCATTGGAGTCTCCAGGTGAGAACACTGGTGTGGGTTGCTGTGCCCTCCCCCAGGGGATGTTCCTGACCCAGGGATGGAACCCACATCTCTTATGTCTCCTACATTGGCAGGCAGGTTCTTTACCACTAGCACCACTGGGAAAGTCCATTGAAATCCTAATGCTTTATATAATGGTATAAGGAGGGAGTGCCTTTGGTCCTAAAAGTAGAGCTCTCATGAATGGAATAGTATCCATATAAGAGACCCCAGAGAGCTCTGTATCCCCTTGCACATGTAAGGATGCACCTGGAGGACGGCTATCTACAAACCAGGAAATAAGCCTTCACCGGAACCTGGCCAGGGTAGCACCCTGATCTTGAACATCTAGCTTCCAGAACTGTGAGAAATAAATTTCTTTTGTTTATAAGTTACCCCATCTATGGTATTTTGTTATAGCCTCCCAAATACATTAAGACCATATATGACAATATGGAAGAATGGCAATCTTACAGTCAGAAGTCTCAGAGTTTTGGAAAATTGTTCAAACATAATCACAACTGCACATTTAGGACTCAGTTGAGAACTGAAATATCATGAGTGTTCCTCTAGAGATCCAGTTATCTTTTTGTCTCTTTAATGGCCAGTGTTTTTATTATGGAGTTTTGCATCCTCATGACATTCTCTGGCCCTGATGGTACTTCTCTTGGTGCTTCTCACAAGCCAGTCACTCTTCAGCCTCCTTTCTCTGAGCTTTATGCCTCTGAGACTGACCAGCTCGCAGGTGGTCATGCCCCTGGAGAGGAGTTCCATCTTCAGGCCAGCTCAGAGACCTTGGCCCTGACAGGAACCTTAAGGTAAAAGGCTGATCTCAAATTGAATTGCCATGACCTGATGTGCTGGTTAATTGTGGATGTCAACTGGGCTCGGCTGGGGAACCAAGATTTGGTCAAACACCAAGTCTGATGTTCCTGTGAAGATATTTTTTTTAAGGGTGATTCTTTTAGACTCAGTAGACTTTGAGTAAAGCAGATTATCCTCCGTAACATGGGTAGTCCTCACCCAATCAGCTGAAAGTCTTAAGAGAAATGACTGAGGTTCCCCTAGAAAGAAGGAATTCTACCTCCAGACTGCCTCCTGACTCAAGATGCAGCATCACCTCTTCCTGGTTCTCCAGTCTGTCCTGCAGATTTCAGGCTTACCAGCCCCCATGATCCGTTGTTTTCTGAGTAGCTATTGGCAAGTGACTTGATCTCCTTAAAACTCAGGGTCTAACCAGCAGGATATTGTGATCATTAGATGTGATGAATTATATTATGATAATTAAATATTATGAAAATAAATGATAATTAAGTGCTCCTTTTATGTACATAAATTGCTGGACATCTAGTAGATGCTGAATAAAACTAAGTTTTTCATCTCTTTCTCTAGCAAAAGTTATACTAAGCCACTCTACTTATTTTTTTTTAATCTCACTGGAAATTCTAGTTTTAGATAGAAAAGAATTTTTCTTATAATTGACTGATATTTAACGTGCCAATTCAAAGTTATCTCATGTTTATGTATTTAAGATATTTTCAGTCTTGCCACTCATTTCTCAGATCAACTAGTTAGTTTCAATTCTTATTGTCTCATAATATTGAATGCAATGCCTTTTCTTACCAAAAGTCACTATCTTTATGAACCTTCAACCATGTTCTGTTAGTCAGGGTTCCCCAGAGAACCAGAAACAAGAGAATGTGTATATATGTATAAAGAAGGAGAAGGATTTACTTTAATTGTCTTTATGATTTCTATTTACCATGTTTCATTTTGCTATTTTTCCCTATTCTTATTTAAATTAATTGGTTTTTCTTTGTTTTTTATTCTGCTTCTGTTCTTCAGTGGTGCTCACAAGTTTGTAGCAACTACATTTAAGCTTTTTGCTTTAATTTTCAAACATTACACTCTTCTTCTGCTGTTCGTTGTCCAGCTGCTAAATCGTGTCTGACTCTGTGACCCCATGGACTGCAGCACACCAGGCCTATCTATATTGTTTTTACATGACTGGTTTGCATATTTTAGGTAGTGCTTATAGCATAGAGACGGATAGAAATAATTTATATGGCTTTATATTAGACTTTGGTCACCTGATGCGAAGAGCTGACTCATTTGAAAAGACCCTGATGCTAGGAAAGATTGAAGATGGGAGGAGAAGGGGACGACAGAGGATGAGACGGTTGGATGGCATCATCAACTCAATGGACATGAGTTTGGGTAAACTCTGAGAGTCGGTGATGGACAGGGAGGCCTGGCGTGCTGCAGTCCATGAGGTTGCAAAGAGTGGGACACGACTGAGCAACTGAACTGAACTGAACTGAACTGACACTGTTTTGAATTCCTTTAGGCAAATGATATCAGAACTTTATCACTAGGGTTCTTCTTCTTATGTATTATTATTATTTTGGCTGTACCACACAGCATGTGGGATCTTAGTTCCCTGACCAAGGTTGGAACCTAGTCCCCTGCATTGGAATGGTGGAGTCTTAACCACTGAACTGCCAGGGAAGTCCTATCACTAGGGTTCTTAAATGTTAATTTATTTTTTCTCCATTCCTTTGAGATCCTCATTTTAATTTTAACAACTGCCTCTCTTCTCTACTATTATAACCCAAAACAGGAAAGAGATGAGAGGAAGATGGTAAAGAATCTCTGAGAAATAACAAAAAGAAAAAGTAGTAATAAATGAGCAGAAGAGAAGGAAATAAAAACAAAATGAGAGCAAATTTTCAAGAGTGGAGAAATAAGATGATGGTATCCCAAAGAACAAGAGTAAAGAAGTTATGAATTGGGCTTCACTGGTGGCTCAGTAAAGCATCCACCTGCCATGGCAGGAGACATGGATTTGATCCCTGGTCCAGGAAGACTGCACATGCCTTGGAGCAACTAAACCTGTGCACCACAACTACGAGCCTGTGCTCCACAACAAGAGAAGTCACCGCAATGAGCAGCACAGCCAAAAGAAGCTAAATAAGTAAATAAATAAAAGTATAACAACAAAAGCTATGGGTCAGAGAAGAACAGAGTGAGAGGTGGGGTGCTGAGATGGAAAAAGCATGAGGCATTGTGGGTGATGATGAGAGGAGCAGATCAAGGACTTTTGTACCTATTGTGTGCTGGACAGAACAGTAGAAACATTTCATCCACAGCTCATGTGTAGAGTCAACAAATGTATGAACAATGGATGATTATTTCATTTGATAAATCAAAGAAGTCCGAGAAATAAAACAGCTCATCCAAGATCGGAAGAATTAGTAAAATCCTGAGTCAAAATGCATGTCCAAATCTGTGTGTTTTGACCAAAAACTGGGGCAGGATTGGAAAGGTCACTCTCCACCCACTGTGTGAAACAGAGGACAGATGCCCCTGCTTCTTTCTTCTTTTCTTTGCCAGCTAATTACATGTCTGATTAGTGTAGGACAAAGGCAAATGCACAGAAGAGAAGCCTGACAAGGTTGAGAAGGAAATGGCCCGGGAGAAAGGAAGATGATTCATTGATAAGCTCTTTGTCCTCTAGAAATGCAATCGGCCTCCTAGGAGGAGAGACTTCGTGTCTAGGGGGCAGCTTGGGCCTTGAAGGAAGAGTCACCCAGAGGAGAAAGAGAACAGAAGAGCTGGAGTGTTTTCAGACCTCCCTTCCTCAGCAAGCCACACGCACACAAAAAGTGCTATAAAATGTCTTTGATTCTTCCTCCTCTTCATTCATACTATTATATACCAACCTGAACAACATCGCCCTTTAAAACCAGGCTACCTTTAGAGCAGTGATTTAACTACATAGTGTTTCTCGAGCATCTAATCCTTGAAACAGGATCCTATGTCGTACTTGGTTAAGACTCCATACAACTTCAATAGGGTCTGCTGCATCATTCACTCCAGATAAAACCCCAAGAAATCTAAACAGGATTATTCAGCAATTTAAACAAAAACTGTTTTCCCGCTGATGACACTGAGTGTCATGTCAAGTTCCTGGTAATGAAAGTCGTCGTCAGATACATGGTGAGTTCAACTCACCTTGTCACTAAGTTTCAAAAATT